ATCTGCGCTAGCCGTCCTTAATTTAGCAGTGTAATACTAGAGGGAAGGCAGCTAGTCATCACCACCCACCGCCAACTCTTGGGCTACCCTTTCACTAACGAATAGTGGGATTGACCGTCACATTATAACGCCTCCACGGCTGAAACGTAAATGATAAAATAGTCACTTCTCCTTTCACTTTTATTTTATATACTTGAACATCATGGTAAAATTTAGGACACTTTTACAAATGACACTAAATGCACTACACTAGCTTGACAAAAAATCAACTTGTACAAAGTAACTTAATATGTGTTACATATTAGAAAGATCCAAATACTTCACGTAGACACTCTGACTTATTAATTCTACCAGTTCCAATAAAGCAAAATCCTCTAAATTAAAATACACATAAATAAAAATCGATTCCGAACTCCATAGTTGGTTATGTCCACATGAGCAGTATAGTTCCCAGCTTGGGGAGGTTTATCACTGCTCCATGAAACCTCATTTCATCATTTGGTAACTGTCATGACACCTGCTGGCGAGATGGTTCCAGCTGGTAGATGTAGTACACTAACAGTGCATCCAGTCTCTTTCCAATGTTCTTGGGTTGTTTTAACCAGAGAAGAGGTTGAATTACTCTAGTTGGCATAAGTCTAAGAGTACTGTACAGACTGATTCATTCAGTCTCAGACTCAGTAAACACCATTCATACATGATGATCCTTAGTCCATGTTTCCCTCAGACTACAGGATATAATGCTTCGTACCTTTACCTTACAATACCTTGATTAAGCTTGGTTTGTATTCCTCACTTTGCCTTGCTCTCTTTATTTAAGTTGAAGAAACCTGTATTACATTTGTTTGAACGAGGAAAAAAGATTGTTTCACTGCCTTTTACATTATGTCCAGTCACTTTCTTTGTTGTAAACTCAGTCGAGGTCAGATAATTCAACTTCACCCTGTAATACATTTCTATCAAAAATTCATGTCATTTTGTGGCTCCTACCTGATTACTTTAAAGGAAAATCGGTGCACCTGAGAATACCACACATACATTCTACAGTGAATTAGTACTTCTTAGTTCAGAAATCAAAGTATGATACTTTCTTTTTGTCACTGATTTTTCAGTTAAGTGATTATCCAAACTTCTCCTGTTTTACCTCTCCTATAGATGTTCCCTTGAACACTGGAAGATTTACCTATTTTGCCTCACCAGCCACCAGCTTTCCTGCCTAAATTCAGCTTAGATTTTCTCGGGTGTTCATCGTCTTCTTGCAATCTAGAGATGCATGCTTCCTGAGGAATACATTATTTTCTGTCCAAGCCTTCAATGGGATTTCACTGTGCTTGATGCCACCTGAAATTGTTGCCATTGTGATGACATGACGTTCGATAAAACTCTTTGTCATCACATCCCATACTGTTCTTAGCCACCAAATATGGTCGTGAATCTGAAAATCTGAAGACACACACATTCTCAAGAATATGTCACACTTGGATTAAAGTCATAATTGGATGACTCGGTGCACGGATTTGCAGGACATGATTTCCATCGTGATGACACTACATGTGATACCACACTTTGCTATCACATTCCATAGTGTCCTCAGCTACAAACTGTGGCTTTGGATCATCGTCAGTGTGCATTGCTGGCATTGAAGACTCCTGACTAGCTTCTAATCCCACTAAGATGTAACAAGATGTCATCTGCTTTGCATTAAGGCGTTGTAAAGATATATGCTGAACTTTATCCAAAGCGTGCATCTCACCACTCTTCTCAGCCCTTAGTGACTCCACAAAGTTCTCTACAATGCCAGGGCTTATTCACAAGTTCATTGAAATTCCATAGTAATCACCCCAGTAAGTCTCAGAATGTTCAGTCTACTTGCTGCCACCATGACCCTTCTCTAGTGCCCCATGCTCCTGCATATGAACTATAACTATTTGAAGTCATGTTAGAGGTGACCAGGATTGCTCAGCTAAGCACCTTTAAACTTTTAGGTCCCAAATAAGGATCTGGATTGATAACATTACTCCTACCAGGACTAACAAAAGCTCTAGGTTCAAAAGACTGCCTCCCTAGACCATATTCTCAGACTGAGTCTTCACTACCACAACTTTTTCATCTCGGTCGTAAATTTTACGTGGTCTCAGAAAGTTACCTTTCATGATAGCATGACTTACAAAGATTTACAAGCATTAATTTACCAGAGAGTCAACATAAAAATAAAATCTTCTAATGGAGCTTGCAATGTGTACGTCCAAAACTCGAAAACTACCACACCGATCATCACCAATCATAAATGGGTATTTATTTTATAGCTAAGCAATAAATATAACAATAGAAACTTCCACAAAAATTATATGTTTCAGATTTAACCAATGAAAATTACAAAAAAGGAGTAAGTTTGAAATATAAAACAGTCAAAAAATAAACTTAAAAAAAATATTTGTTTTCCTTTAGTGAAAATCTCATGAG